CTTGTGTCCCCATCCCAGCTCCCTGTGAGCGGCAGCACCCTACATGATCAGATTGCCATGCTGAGCCACCAGCGTTTCAACACCCTCACCGCTCGCATCCAGCACAGCCTGCTTGGGAGGAAGATCCTGGCTGCCATCATCATGCGGAGAGGAAACAAGGGCCTGGGAGTGGTGGTCAGCATCGGAACGGGTATGGACGGCTTCTTCCAGCGTAAGCCAAACCCTCGTGTCCCCGCTGGATTCCCTCCTCCCTGGAAGTGTTGAAGGCCAGGCTGGATGAGGCTTTGAGCAACCTGGTCTAGTGGAAGGTGTCCCTGCTGCTGGCAGGGGGGGTGGGACTGGATGAGCTTTTAGGTCCCTTCCCACCCCAAACATTCTGTGATTCTATACAACTAGGGGATGGCTCTTGCTGTAGGTTTCTTCAGAGAGGGCAAGGAACGTTCCCAGGGCTCACGCGGTGTCACAAGCGATCTGGTTAGAGAGAGAGAACAAAGCCAGTGTGCCCGCAGCTGTGTTGCTCTTAATCTTTGCTTGCATCGCCTGTGCATCAGAGCGTGGATTCCTCAGCTCGTACAGCACAAGATCCCTCGGCTTCTCTCAGCTTCACGTACCTCAGCTCCCTTCCTAGTTAGCTGCCACGCTTCCACCCGGAGTGCTGGGCTGAAAAGCGATCAGAAAGGGTCACTGCCCCTAAAACTGTGGCAGTTTAAGTCTCTGCTGTCCCTAAAGCAGCGTGTGCTCTTTGTATCTGGATTTTCCTAACTGCTTGGATCAGGATAATGATTTAATAGGGTGCTGCTGCTGTTCTGGAGCCTGAAGAAGTAAAACTTGAAGCGAGAGGAAACCCTCCCTCTTTCTGTGGAGCTGTGTGTTGGCTTGAACACTTACCTCTCATTTATTTATTTATTTATTTATTTCAGGTAATCGCTGCGTGAAAGGTGAAGAGCTGAGCTTGAAGGGGGAGACAGTGAATGACTGTCATGCAGAAATCATTTCTCGAAGAGGTTTTGTGAGGTGAGACAAAGGGAAACCTGAAGGAGAGGGGCCTGCCAAGAGGTGCTGACCCATTCTCGAGGGACGTAGCTGTGACGGTTCCTTGCTGTGTTGAAGCTGTGATCTGTAACACCACTGTTTCCCCATGTGTTGTTAAATAGAGGGAAGTTATTTCTGATAAGAAAGGACCAAGCCTGAACGTTGCCCAAATTAGTACCGAACTGGAAACTTGCCAAGAGCCCAAGGGCCACATCTGATGTACTCAAAATAACGCGTCGTGCGGAGGCTGCTTGGCCAGCACGCAACGCGCTGCTCCGGCCTGAGCACAGCTCTGAGCCAGGGGGCTGGGGAATCTGGTGGCCTTTCTAGATCTGGGCGTGGAAAGGCTTCAGGAAAACATCTCAATGTGGTTGTGCTGATAACTCAGAGATCCTTTTTCATCAGTTGGAAAGGGTTTTCCCAACTAAACTACACAATTGTTCTCTTTATAAACATTCACCATGGCGTGTGAGATGGAGTTGGATTAGCCTTGTTAACGTTTGCCCTTCCAGTTTTGAACAGCAAAGCCAGCTGCTGTCTTAGTCTTAGCCTGCTGCCACTATACTCTGCCTTCCTCAGCACTGGAAGATGTTGAGGGCAGGTCCTCAGCGAGCTGTAAATTCATGGGATTGCACTCTTGACACTGTTAATCTTGACAGTCGTGTCTGCTGGGCACTGCAGAGCCTGTCACAGACCAGGTCACTGAGCTCCACCTCTCCTTGCAAAACAAGTCCCTGCACAGGCTCTACTTGAGCTGTGAAGCTGCAGTTTTTCTTTAGTCCTTGACACTGTGTTGGAGACCTCAAGGTTTTTTTTCCTGTCCCCAGACAGAAAGAACCATAAAAGACCCAGTCATTGTAAACAGATCGTGGGCTTGTGCTAATAATACCACTGGCGTTCAGCTGCCTGTGGGACTCTTTACTCTTCATGCAAACTTGGTGCTGACTAAAGGTGCTGGGTTCACAACCTTGAAGTCTTCTTCACGCTTGGATCAGATGCACACAAGCAGCAGCCAGCCAGGCTCCTTTTTCTCTCCTGCCAGTGCTTCCCTCTGCTCACCTGACAGAGGAAATGGCCTCAAGTTGCACCAAGGGCAGTTGAGATGGGATGTGAGGAAGAATTTCTTTGCTGAAAGGGTTCTGAGGCATTGGAAGGGGTTGCCCAGGGCAGTGGTGGAGTCCCCATCCCTGGAGGGATTGAAGAGTCGTGTAGACATAGTGCTGAGGGACATGGGTTAGTTGGGGACTGCTCAGTGTTGGGTTCATGGTTGGACTCCATGATCTTAAAGGGCTTTTCCAGTCCAGGCCATTCTGGGATTCTGTGAATGTTTATTTTCTATTTGCCTGTTCTCTGTGTGGCAGGAAATCTTGATTTCATGCCTCTTCTGTAGCATCAAACTATTTGTTGGCTTCCAAGTCCTCTCGGCTGTGACTCCTGGTCTTTGTTCTCCCACGCAGCAGGAGCAGGAGATGCTGTGACAGAGGCAGAGCTGGAGACCCTGCCTGTCCCACGGGCAGTGGTTGGGTTGAACTGCTCCTTGTCTGAGGAGCAAAGCAGCCTTTTGACGTGATGATGTTGTTTTCAGGTTTCTCTATAGTGAGCTGATGAGGTATGACCCGTCTCATCCTTCCTCTGCAGAGGACAGCATTTTTGAGCCAGCAGGAGGGAAGAAACTCAAAATAAAGAGCAGTGTCACCTTTCACCTCTACATCAGGTTCGTGAGGGGTTGTGCGGGAAGTGACCAGTGTCAGCAGTGCTGTCGCACCCCTGGCCCAGGCTGGTTTTTGAGAGCTGGTACTAACTTGGGGAGCGTCTGTTTTCTAGCACAGCACCTTGTGGAGATGGGGCACTCTTTGATAAATCCTGCAGCGATCAAGCCAGCGTCGCGGGGCAAACCCAGCATCAGCCTCTCTTTGAGAACCCCAAACAAGGCAAACTGCGGACCAAGGTGGAGAACGGTGAGTGCCTTTGGCTCCCTGCACGGGGAAGTGGCTTCAGTTCTCTCCTTGGAACCTTTCTGGGGCTCCAGAGTTTCCTTACCCCTCTCTGTGTGGTGCTGGTGTGGGATCTGAAGCATTCAGGAACCACAGGGGGTGGGTACAGGGATGGGGATGTTGGAGAGTGTCCCTTCTAGCACGAGTACAGCTGAAGTTTGCTGCAGAGCTTTTGTGTCGCTGACCTCCCTTTCAAGTGCTATTTCATTCTGCTTCAACCACGTGAAAAATGACTCATCTGTGATCAGTACCGAGTTCCATTTTTCATGTGATCCTCCAATATTCCCAGAACCTGGTGACAGGCTGACTGCAGAGGTCACTCCGTGCCTGTGCATAGAACAGTTTCTTGTCGCTGATGGGTTTTTGATTTATGGAATATCTGACTCTTTACAAAAAAGCTGTCGTCTTCTTTTGTGCAGGGGAAGGGACCATTCCCGTGGAGTCGAGTGACATTGTGCCCACGTGGGACGGGATCCAGCACGGGGAGCGGTTGCGAACCATGTCCTGCAGCGACAAGATCTTACGCTGGAATATACTCGGCTTGCAAGGGGCCTTGCTGTCCCATTTCCTAGAACCGGTTTATCTCAGCTCTGTTACACTCGGTACGAGACCTGCCCGTCCTTCCTGGGTTGGGGTGGATGTGCTGCCCTGCTCCTTAGACCTGGGCTGCACTGACAAGTGACCTCCCCTCCCTCAGTGATGCAAAAGGCTGTAGGAGTAACAGACTGAAACGCTGTTCTTGGCAGAGCTGAGCTGCTTGGAAGTGAAAAGCCATTTTGTGGATTCGTCCTGTGGGTGGAGTGGTTTTTTTTTCCCAGGGTTCTTGATTTTTAGAAGGCACACGTTAGCTAAGAGGGGGAGACAAAAATTGCCTGGTTGTGTCTTCGTTGAGAAACCCTGCAGGCTACAACCCTTCATCTTAACACCTCTAGGGTACACGCAGGTGTTGCTGATCCACACGGCCACGAGCTTTCTGGAGCTTGTGAGAAACAATCACAGAATCATCGTGGTTGGAAAAGACCTTTAAGGTCATCGAGTCCAATCACAAAACTCCCACTACCAATCCCACCTGTAAACCATGTCCCCGAGCACTTCATCTACCTGTCTTTTAAATCCCACCAGGGAAGGTGACTCCCCCACCTCCCTGGGCAGCCTGTTCCAATGCTTGACCACCCTTTTGGTGGAGAAGTTTTCCCCCAGATCCAATCTAAACTTGATGTCCAGTCTATAATTTTCCTGACATCCATCTAAACACTGCGATGAGAAGCGCTGTGATTCTCCGGGTTTGGCCCATCCATCACCTCTGCTGTTCCTCTTTCCTCACACCTCCACATCTTGTCTTCACAGGTTACTTGTACAGTCAGGGTCATTTAACACGTGCGATCTGCTGCCGTGTGGCGAGAGACGGGAACGTGCTGCAGGAAAAGCTCCAGGCTCCGTATCACGTTAACCATCCTGAGGTACCACTCTTCATCCTTCTGTCCCACCTCAGCCCTTGGGTTTGGGTCTGACTGAGGTGCTCTGCAGTGGGGTCAGAAGAAGCAGAAGCTCTCCAGACAGGGTCAGGAGGTTAACGACCAGAAACCTGCCCACTTTGTGTCATCCCAGAGGGTCTGGGGTTACTGGGAGTGATGTGGTCTGGGACTAAGGAAACCAAGGTCACGTCCATAGCCTTCAGCATAGTAAGAACCTAGTGCTGGCTGCTCTCAGGACTTTGGGATGAGCTGAGCCCCTGCCTGTGGGGAATGGAAACTCCTTGGATTTCACAAGTCCCAGATCAGACCTCTCGCTGTTCAGCCTGGAGAAGAGAAGGCTCCAGGGAGATCTTATAGCGGCCTCCCAGTACCTGAAGGGGCTACAAGAAAGCTGGGGAGGGACTTTTCATAAGGGCAATTAATGACAGAACAAGGGGAAATGGGTTTAAGCTGAAAGAGGGGAGGTTTAGATGAGATATTAGGAAGAAGTTCTTCACTGTGAGGGTGGTGAGACAGTGTCCCAGGTTGTCCAGAGAAGCTGTGGCTGCTCCTCCCTGGAAGTGCTGAAGGCCAGGTTGGATGAGGCTTTGAGCAACCTGGTCTAGTGGAAGGTGTCCCTGCTGATGGCAGGGGGGTTGGGACTGGATGAGCTTTAAGGTCCCTTCCAACCCAAACCATTCTATGGAAAGTCAGCAGCAGCGGGTGCACCTTGTGGGGTAACTGAGGTTTTAACATGCAAAACACCAGGAATCTGGGATGGAAAATAAACACGAGGCTCTGCCCCAGGCGAGCGTGGGGGGGTGGGTGGCAAGAGGCTCCCTGAGCCGTGACCTCACAGCACAACCCGTGTTAACAAACCCCCTGGCCTCTGACGCAGGTCGGGCGAGTCAGCGTGTACGACTCCGCCCGGCAGACCGGCAAGACGAAGGAGTCGTCGGTGAATTGGTGTCTTGCTGATGAAAGCGAAGTGGAAGTCTTGGATGGCACAAAAGGGAAAGTAGATGGGTAAGAGGAGCCTTTCCTGACGCTGCTTTTGTCGTTGGGGAAAGGGGGGCAGCTCTGAAGTCGTGGGTACTCTCTCTGCTGTTCCAGCACCTTACGTGTGGGGGGGGCTGGAGAGAGGAATTTCAAACTGACATAAGCGAGAGATCTTGAAGCAAAATAGAATATTGCCCAGCCCACACCCTACGACAGAGCCCTGCTGAGCCAAGAGATCTCCCAGGCACCCCATTGTGGGTTTTTCCCTGTGCTCCACTGAATGTCATGTCCTTCACTGGAGAGCAGCCCTGCAGAGAGGGACCTG